TGCACTTATTGTTTTCTTTTAATATACTTCTTCTGTTCTGTGTATCTGACCACCAGTGGATGAAAGGCAAATCAACGTCATTACCACGGAACCTATACAACCTTAAAGTCATGAAAAGATGCTTAATTCCAAAAGACATTTGGAACACCTTACAGATTGATGGATCCAAAAATGCTTTTCAGATTCCCACTAAAAATTGAGGCTACTTCATTTTTAGGATATATGGGAAAGATGTTTTCATGTTAAAATATCTTTCTAGGTTTTCTTGAAAACATCAGTAACATCAGGCTTACATTTGTTCATTACACCAACCAGACTTGAGCTGAGCCATCCCAATTACACATCGATACTTCAGTTTTCTGTATTCTCAGCCATTTCTTCAAGTGGTGTCTTCACACTAGCTTCAGCCTGTTCCATACATTTCTAGTGCCTGTCTGGGTCTTAAAAGCTTTTGAATTCATGGCCCTTGTTCACAGAGTCAAAGGATTAGTGGGAAAGTTGAAAGTCTGTTGTGTACTTTGGTCTGTGTTCTTCTTAGAATAAACAGGCTACAATCTCTACTTACAGTTTTAAAGAATCTATAAAGATGACTTCAGACTCTCATAGGACACTATCCAATATGATACCATCTTTATTGTTTTCCTTACTTTGGCCTTACTGTTTCAGTTGTAGCTATATGCATGCATCTACTTTTTTAAAAAATTACTTAAGACTTGCTGGATTTGCAGTGATGAATGGCCAGTATTACCAAGACAGGGTAACATACACTGGCTTAAGGACATCTGTGAACACAGCCGAAGAGTATAGCTGTATACATACATACAACCTACAGACTCTCTTTAGGGTTGCTCATATGTACACTTGAGGTTGGATAACCTCCCAGGGGACTCATCCCTGGAGAAAAATGATTCTCCCTCTCTCAGCAGCCATTGATAGTCTATAGCTCTAATTGGGAAAAGGGGGATGGGTAATACAGAGGAAGGAGGACCGAGAGATAAAGAGTACAACGATGTTTGAGAAAAGCTGTAGGGAGGATTATATTATTTTATAATCTTATTTAAAACACATATATATTAAATGTGTGTACCTATATATCTTTTTAAAATTGTTAGTCTAGTCATGAAGTGGTGGCCCACACCTTTAATCCTATCACTTGGGAGGCAGAGGCAGGCCAGTCTCTGAGTTCCAGGCCAGCTTGATACAGCAATCTTGTCTCAAAAGACCAAAATATCACAAGAAAGACTAAAAATAAAAAAAAATAAAATGGTTACTTTAACAGTATAGACACTCAGTGAATTGTACAATTGTGTAGTCTTGTTAGTTTCTGCGAGTGATTTTCTTATTTGCAATTTTTTTTAAAGAAATAAAGTTTAAAAGAAAAAAATTCTAACTTCTGAATTGATAACCTTTAACCAACAACATTGATTTTTGTATTTAGTTATTAAAATATGAGCATTGTCAGTATTGGAGAAAAACTTCCAGCATGAAACTATTTGGTGAGCATTTTAACATAATTGTATTAAAATATTATACATGCATTGATGTGTGTTAGGTCACTGAGATTATATCCAAATTATAAGCAATGATGCTGCAATGTGAATATTATTACTGAGCTTCAAGTGATGTGAAAATGACTAGTGTTACAGGCTTCTAATTGATCTGAGCCAGCTCTGTGCTGAAGGTCAGGCCCTGAAGTCTAGGACTATTGCACACTTCCTATTGCTGTCATTCTGCCAGCCCACTTTAACTTTCTGCATCTCATTTTATTGTCTATGAAGGAAGATGAGAGTAAGGTAGCTTCCCAGTCCTCGCCACATTTTCCCTCTGTGTGCTGTCTTTAGGATGTACTATTATTGTCAAAGTGGTAATTTTAATTTCGGCCCTAATAAATAAACCTCAAGTAAGACACCTTCTTGTTTGCTTTACTAACCTCTATGAATTATTCTACAAGGAACTCTAGAACAACAGTGCCCCCAGCCTCCATCACCTACTGGAGGCTAAGCTGAGCAATAGTTAAGTTGGCTTAATGCTTGAAACTGGAATTCTTGTTCAGGGAGAATTCACCTTGAAAATTACTTCACTAACAATTTTTTTTAATCTATGTGTTAAAATGCTTTATGTTATCTCATACCTGTGCTCCCTCTTATCCTTTTAATTTCATTTTATAAGGCTGGGATGCAGCTTAGTCTGGCAGAACACTTGTCTGGCATGAATGAAGATCCCAGCTCAGTCCCCAGCACCTCAGTAACTAAGAAAGGGAAATAAATCATTCTCTTTAATAGTGTCACGTTCCTTATATTCAGCCCAGTTTTCTGGAACAAACCTTGGATCAGCCTCTCTGACCATCACTCTGTAGCTGTGGTTACCACCTCTGATCTCCCTTTATGATATAGGAAAGCAAACGATTTCTTTACTGTGTAGCTGTCCCTTCTCATGTGTGGGGATTCTTTTTACATGGTTTTCCACAGATGTCAGCTGGCCGGCCAGTCATGCAGTTCATTTTGCACACTGACCTGGAGTTGTGGTAGTTTGTGTTGGCTTCTACAGGGTAAGACCTCAGTACCAACTTCAGAGGTGAGGAGTACAGATCCAGTAACAGTGGAATTGGCTTCCAGGACTTATGGAAACACTTAAAGACATTTGCGCGTTGTGTAAAGGAAACACAAATGCACAGGTTCTCAGAGGTACACAGAGCAAAGGCTGGAAGGGTCCTGGGTCCAGGAGCTCCTACTTTGTGGACCCTGCACATCAATCTCTGGACCCATGTTCACAACCCAACTCCCTACCCCCAAAAGTGTAGTTTTGAATGGAGGCATGATTGGTTGGTAACATAATTTCCAGTATTTTCCTTCTCTTCCCAGAAGTTGGGGGTGAAGAGAAAATTCTAAGCTTCCATCATGACTCAGTCTTTTTAAGCTGGTGATCAACTGTCATCCTGGAAACCCAGTGAGACCTGAACCATTAGAAACAAAGCTGCTCTAACACCCAGGAGGTTCTAAGACATTTAAGGAATTCTGATCCAAGACATGAAGCAGCAGCAATGTATTTCTTATTAGTTCACAATTATAAATAATGTACCTTCCTTCCTCACTTCTGGCATCATCCCAGCTCAGTGTTTCCAAAGTCTTATCCAGAGACCACATTTGTCTAGATTTTCCTGAATTCTTTTCATTAGAATGGCATAAAATCCATGTGAATGCAGCTTTCTGGAATCCAGATTCAGGACCTTCAGCATCAAACCTCTGAGAACAGGGCCTGGAAATACACATTGCTAACAAGCACTCATTGCTGTCTAGCCTTCTGCTCTCTGCCGGGTGTGTGGAGGACTCGTGCACTAAACTGATTCCGCTTGAGAATGAACTTAAGAACACAGTAAAATTCCTGATGCCTCATATTCTCAACCTTTGATGGTTCTGTCAAAACTCAGAGGCAGTAGGAAAAGTCCTGTTTAACATCCCGTTAACACTTAATTGAATTCATTTTGTCGTACCGTTGTAAAGTTTCCTGATATTAATGAATACATGATTAGTTAATTAGGCACGATTAGCTTCATTACACTTCAGGTTTTTTCTCGTTCAGATTTAGTTCAGAATATATGATGTGCCTTAACAAAATTCTGCAACCATCTCAGAAGAGCTGCCTGAGGTTCCTGTTCTTTTCATGATACTGCTTTCTACACCAATATCTTCATCCTCAAGCAGTTAAGCTGCTCTCCTCACAGGAAGGACCATTTTGTGGGGAGGTGTAGAAATTCCTACATTTTTTGATTCTCCTCCTTCTTCCCTCCTCCTGTTCCTCCCCTGCTTTTCTCCTCCTGCCCTCCCTCCCTCCTTTCTGTAAGGGTCCCCCTTTTCTTATCTGCCTGTTGGCCACAAGTCCATTAGGACAAGGGGCAGAAGCAAGGACAGAGAGCAGAGAGCTTTGTAAGGCCTGTGAGCATGACAGAGGAAGCTGTCTGGGAGATAACTTCAGTGAATCAGCTCAATTTTTTTCCAGAATATAGGAAATATTACAAGGTTGGGAATGATTGCTGGGGAATCACCTAATTTGCAGTAAACAGCACACTCCTATCATAAAGCTCCTAGTATAAGCCTTAGTTATCATCTGTGGAAGCATGGTCCTATAGACATGTTTCTAGCACAATATCTATCACCTGGGCAGCAGGGGAAAAGCATCTGGAGGGAACTGTGTCCAGGGTCATACTAGAGATAAGTCAGGCATCTGGCCCTAGAGACAGTCTCCAAATAAAGTCAGGTAGAGGACAGGGTGCCTTCCTCCAAGGGCAGGGAGTTGTCCATGTTGCTGAGCTCAGAGAGAGCTGCCAGGTTGTGATAGACTGCAACCTCCAGCTAGCAGGGCATCTCACCTCTCACCTTCCTTCCTGTCTTCCTTCCTTCCTCCCTTCCTTCCTTCCTCCCTTCTTTTCTTCCTTCCTTCCTTTCTCTATCCTTTTTCTTTCTTCATTCCTTAATTTTTTCTCTATTTCTTTCCTTCCTCCTCCCTTTCTTTCTTTCTTCTTTCCTTTTTTCTTTCTTCATTTCTTTCCTTCCTCCTTCCTCCTTTCTTCCTCCCTCCTTCCCTCCCTCCCTTCTTTCTTCTCTCTCTCTCTAATATATATATATACATACATATATATATATATGTATATATATATATATATATCTTCTTTTTATTGAGTTCTTTTGCAACCAATAATCCTGCCCCAGGAATTATAGACGTGAGTCACAGTGTTGGCCTCTACAATTCTTTGCTGACTATATTTCATCTCTAAAACTCTATTGTCAGTGTTGTTGTTATAAATACATATATTGCAAACACACACACACACACACACACACACACACACACGCACAGTGCTTTGGGTACTGCAGTGCTACAGCAGTAGAATGATGCAGTTCTCTTGCCAGATCATATGAAAACGTGACCATTTCATTTATAACCCTGAAGTGTTTCTGTGTAGAGCAAAAGCAACAGTCTATAAATTCTATTTTCATTTGCAGAGATGAAGGAGATGAGTCCCAGAAGTGGATATTTGGAACAGATGGCTGCATTTATTCTAAGGTAAGGACTGGATAGGACACACCTTTTATTCCTAAGAAAATTTGTTCACAGATGCATGCAAAATAAACTGTTTTAGAAAGAGATTCTGTATCTGCACAAATGATATTTTTTCCTGCATTTTAGCATAATTTAACTCAATCGTTGCCCTGGAATTTTTATTTAATTAAAAAAAGAAAGCATTTTTTTTTTCAAAGTAAAAATATGTTTCACAACTCATTGACTCCATACTTGGGAGTTTGTTTCTTTACACTTTAAAATAAGATTAGTTCAAGACCTGCTTGGTTTTTGGACTAATAGATGTGGTGTTGTCTATAGTATTAGAGTTTTACCCTCAAGTTCTGTTGGGGAACCAAGTGCAATTGTGAGAGCCTATGTTGTTTGAGGGTCTCTGGCAACCCCTGGCCAACAAATTGGAGGGAGAAACACCCTACAGCTGTGACTGGGCTGTTTGACAGTCCAAGGTTTCTGGGAGCATTGCCCCCCCCCCATGTGGGGGAATTCCAGGTAAACTACTTTCAAAAATACTATTTGGGGCTGGAAATATGGCTTAACATTTAAGAGCATGTGCCACTCTTGCAGAGGACCCAGATTCAATCCCCAGAACCCTTATGAAAGACACCTTTAACTCCAGCTCCAGGTAGACACAAAGCCTCTACAATTCAAGAGCATTAGCACTCATGTACACACACGCAGACACAGACACAGACACAAGAGAAAGAGAAAGAGCAGGAGAGAAAGAGAGAGAGAGAGAGAGAGAGAGAGAGAGAGAATTAAAAACAAAATTATACATTATACATTATACATTATAGCCCGGCGGTGGTGGCACACACAACTTTAATTCCAGCACTCAGAAGGCAGAGGTAGGCGGATCTCTGTGAGTTTGAGACCAGCAGGGTCTACAAGTTCCACAACAGCCTCTGAAGCCACAAAGAAACCCTGTCTTGAAAAACATATATATATGAATATGTGTATATGTATATATGTAATATACACATATATATTATTTTAGGATGCTTATAGGTTTCCACATGGTTTTTAAAAACACCCTTAACATTATTTAGTGTTTCCCTGATTGCTAAGGATGCTTAGTACTTTTAAAATTATCTCTTAGTAGGTCCCACTTCCTATACTGACAGATGTGGAACAGAACCGTTTCAGGTCCACCTTCATCTTTTCTCCCCAATACATCTGCCTGTGATTTGTATGCGAAGTATCTCCCAAAGGTGCACGTACCAAAGACTTGAACCTGAGTCCATGGACCACTGAGAAGTGGTTAGAGCATTCAGGCTCTAGCCATATGAACTGATTAATTCACTGATGAATAAAATTGAACCAACCAATAGGAAGTGGTAGAAATGTGACAGGTGGGGTCCAGGGTTGGGTATGTCATTTTTCTCTTGCAAGATATGCATGGTCCTGGCCTCTCCCTCATCATGCTCTCACTCCTCTCTGGCTATCACAAAGTGAGAGCCTGAAGGGCTCTATTAACCCTTCAGCCATGATGGCCTGACTCACCACAGGCTCAGCATCATGGAACCCCATGCACTGAAACCATGAGCCTAAATAAATTCTTATTCTTCCCCCAGGCTGTTTCCCAATGTTGTCCCTGTGACAAAAGTTCTTCTAATACTATTCAAACACCTCCCCGCCCCTGTCCGGTGTGCAGCTTCTGTCCTTAGCATGTTTGTATCCCTGCAAGCAGATGATATATGCTTTCCTACTTAAAACACAAGTTAGTTTTAAGTAGGTTTGGATTCTAAACTTTATTCACAAATACAATCACTGATTTTTCTATGATTACTATAAATTCACAGAGGAAAAACTATTACTGAATCATTTCAGGCTTTGAAACATTTGAAAAATTCGACTAGCTCCACATTTAGTCATATCCAAGTTATTTCCATATATTTAAAGATAAATGGAGGATAATTTGGTAATTATTTGCAGCTGTGCTCATGCGATTTAGTTGGGTTTTTTTTTTTTTTTTTTTTTTTTTTTTTTTTTTTTTTAAGGATGGAATTGCTGCTATAGGACACTATAAATGTATCTTGGCTCCAACACTTACTAGCTGTGTGGCCTTAGGCAAATCACCTAACCTTTCTGAGCTTCACATTCTTCATCTGCAAAGTGTAGATATTAATGCTAGCATTGTGAGCATTTGGCACAGATACTGGCTTAGAACAGCTAATTGGTAATTTGCAGCTAATAATGATAATAACAGGAAAATTTAAATACATTTATTGCATTTTACTGTGTTGTTTTTACTTGGATAACTGTTTTCTTTTTATGTCAACTATTTCTTTATTCACTTGCAAAACCTAATAAAATCATGTTTCATAGATATTTGACCAACTACAGCTAAGCTAAATACTTAAATTTGATCACTCATATAGAAGAAAATGTACATTAAATCATCTAACTCAGTGTAATGATAAGTGTGTGATTTTGGAAGCATAGAAATAAAGACAGAATCTGTTTAAGAGAAGACCGCCTTTGGGCATGTGTGAAATTAAGAACTCCCAAGCTAATAGTAGCTTAAGCAAAAAGTAAATAAGGAAGCTCGGCATGGTGGCACATGTCTTTAATACCAGTACTTGAGAGGCAGAGACAGGTGCAACTCTGTAAGTTCAAGGCCAGCCTGGTGTACGTGGAGCGTTCCAGGGCAGCTCGGGCTACATAGAGAGATGCCATCTTAACAAAACAAAACACAAAAGGTAAATAGTGAATAAGGAAATATGAAAAAATCTTTGCAACATCAACATCAGAGGGTGAGATAATATAATACTATTGAGTAAGGTTGGCATTTCAACAGGAAAGTTTAAACCCTTTGATAGAAAAAAAGGTCAAAGGGCATGAAAACAAAACACATCAGAAGAAAAATTAAAAGAGCCAAGCCAAATAAAGCATGTGATTTGGCTCAGTAAGAAGTCAACAACTGTCAGATAGTTCAGTGGGGACCCTCCTCTGATGAGAGCAATATAAGCCTGGGACTCTCCAGTCTGATGAAGGCATTGTAGGCACATAATGCTCACCTCTGATTAGCATTAGCTTTCTACTGTATGTAGTAACGTACCTCCAAAGCACAGAAACTTCAAACAACAAACACTCATGGATTCATTGGCTGGGAATCCAAAGTGGCTTCACTGTAGTTCTCAGCAGCAGCAGCAGCAGCAGTAGCATACATTGCCTGCATGTATGTCTGTGCACTTCAGGCATTCCCACTGTCCAGGGAAGCCAAAAGAGGGTGTTGGAACTGGCATTATAGGTGGTTATGAGCCACCTTGTGGGTACTGAGAATCTAACCTGGGTCCTTTGGAAGGACAGTCAATGTTCTTACTCACTAAGCCATCTCTCCAGTCCCTCACTGGACTTTTTTTTTTTAATTTTTTAAAATTTATTTTATATAATAAAGTCCATTTAAATGAAAACAAACATTTATACACAATATTTGGGAATTTGGGCGTTGTTCTTTCCAAACTACTTCCTGCTGGTAAGGGGCGCTGTCATGGGGGATTCGAAGAAGATTCAGAAATCCTGGCTGTAGTCTGTAAGGCTGCTTTGTCCAGCTGTTTTGAATGTAGGATCATCTCATACTCTGTTTCAGGCGGTCTGGCTTGATCAAACCACATTAGTCTGGAAGGAATCCACATCTTTTCATTTTCTGTGGAAACAAAAATAGAAATCCTTTTCCCCAGTAACTTGTCCTTGAACTTAAATTTTGTAGTCAAAGCATTTTTTAAATTTAATTTATTATTTTACATGTCGATCCCAGTTCCCTCTCCCTCCCTCCTTCCCTCCCTCCCTCCTTCCCTCCCTCCTTCACTCCCTTTTACCCTCTCTGCCCTCTCACATGCACTCTAACCACCCTCCCTCCCATCCCACCACCCCAATTCCATATGTAGGGGAATGCCATCCAGTTGGGGTCATGTAGATCTGACAGGTCATGTGAAGTAGGGACTAGGGCTTCTCTCTTGTCTCTAGATTAAGGCAGTTATCCCTCCATGGGGGATGTGTTCGCAAAGTCCTTTTGTGCACCAGGGATACATCCTGGCTCCACTGTCTGAGGTCTCTTAGACTGTTCAGTCCTTCTGGCTGAGACCCATATTCAGGAGGGCCTGAGTCAGTCCCATGCTGGCTTCCCAGCTATCAGTCTAGTGGCCGTTAGCTCCTCCTTGTTCAGGTAAGCTGTCTGTATGTGTTTCTGCCACCTGGTCTTGTCCTCTCCATCTGTTTCTGGGTTCTAGTTCGACTCAGTGTTTATGTATGGGTGTTTGCTCCTGTTTCCAAAAGGCATTAGTTGAGGGCTCCATGGATAAGTTAGTTGTTGATCTCACTCTCTGGGAAGGGCATTTATGATAGCCTTTCCACGGAAGCTCAAATTGTTAGTTGGGAGCAGTCTTGTAGTTCTCTAGACCTTTCTTTGTGTTCAATTTTATCTTCAAACCAATAATGGCTCCCTCTTTTATGTTCTCTGTCTCTGTCTGTCTCTGTCTCTCTCTCTCTCTTTCTCTCTCTCTTTCCTGTCTTCTATTCCTAACCAGGCTCAATCTTCCTGGTCACACATGTTTTCCTTTTCTCCCCCTCGTTTTCACCTACTTCTCTGAAAACAGCCTGATATTGGCATAAAAATAGACAGGTAGACCAATGGAATTGAATTGAAAATCCTGATATTAACCCACACACCTATGAACACCTGATTTTCGACAAAACAGCTAAAATTATACATTGGGGAGAAGACAAATGGTGCTGGCACAATTGGATGAGGGTGTGTAGAAGACTGCAGATAGACCCATGTCTGATGCCATGCACAAAACTCAAGTCCAAATGGATCAAAGACCTCAACATCAATCCAGCGACATTGAACCTCTTAGAAGAGAAAGTAGGAGCTACCCTTGAACAAATTGGTATAGGAGACCGCTTCCTGAACATAACTCCAGGGGCACAGACACTGAGAGAAACAATTAATAAATGGGACCTCTTCAAACTTAGAAGCTTCTGTAAGGCAAAGGACACAGTGGACAAGACCAAATGGCAGCCCACAGACTGGGAAAAGATTTTCACCAATCCTATATCCGACAAAGGGATGATCTCCAAAATTTACAAAGAACTCAAGAAACTAGTCAAGAAAACACCAAATAACCCTATTAAAAAATGGGGTACAGAACTGAAGAAAGAATTCCCAATAGAGGAAATCAAAAAGGCTGAAAGACACTTAAGAAAATGCTCCACATCCTTAGCTATCAGGGAAATGCAAATCAAAACAACTTTGAGATACCATCTTACTCCTGCCAGAATGGCTAAAATTAGAAACACCAGTGATGACTCATGTTGGAGAGGACATGGAGAAAGGGGAGCACTCCTCCACTGCTGGTGGGAGTGCCAACTCATACAGCCATTTTGGAGATCAGTATGGCGGTTCCTCAGGAAAATGGGAATTGGTTTACCACAGGACCCGGCAATCCCCTCAGGCATATACCCAAAGGATTCACATCCATGCAACAAAGGCATCTGTTCAACTATGTTCATAGCAGCACTATTTGTAATAGCAAGAACCTGAAAGCAACCTAGACGCCCCTCAATTGAAGAATGGTTAATGAAGATGTGACACATCTACACAATGGAATACTACTCTGCAGAAAAAAATTAATGGTATCTTGAAATTTGCAGGCAAGCGGATGGCACTTGAAGAAACCATCCTGAATGAGGTAACCCAGTCACAAAAAGAGGAACACAGTATGTACTCACTCATATATGGATTTTAGACCTAGATCAAAGGATCACCAGCCTATAATTCACACCACCAGAGGAACTAGGATACAAGGTGTATTCTAAGAGATTCATATAAAGTCCCTCACAGAACTGGGAAGGGACAAGTCCCCCAGAGCTCAGGGGAAGTGGGGGGGGCAGAGACTGGGTAGTTTTAACTCAGAGTTCCTCATGAGAATGGGGCCAGTATGTCAACCAAGAGCTTCAGACGTCTGTGGCTGAATCAAGATGGGAAATCAGCTTCTGAGCATGTTCACACCTGCTGTTGCTCAGAGGTGTTAGTCCATCTCAGTGTGACCTCCCCCTACAGTGTCATCCATAATGTGAACTGTTGCAACAAGAAAAGATGAGGCAAGGGGGAAAATAGCAGCCTTGGTAGCTCTGACAAGGTCATTTACACTTCTGCCAAATTTAGGTCACATAGACCTGTGGTGGCAAGCCGGGAAAGGCTCTATACAAAGGGACAAATTCAAATGGTATATTATTTCTCAGGGCCCATTTGGCAACAGTAAAAGTTATTTTTAAAAAGTCCCCTCATTCCTTTAATTCAGAATCCCCAATTACAGCTGTTCACCCGGAAGTGGGAGGCACACTGACATACCTTAAAGGATATCCATTGTGGCATTGATTAGAATACTGAGAGACGACTCCGACGCATCAAAAGACTGCACTGTCATTATGAGTGCTGGTGGTAACATCACAAATCTACAGGGTAATTTACAATGAAAGGTAAAACTGCCAAAGGCACGAGTTAGAAAATATGAAGCAAGAAAGGAGTATTACTTAGGTGAATTTACATTATACCAAAGAAATATATGTATAGGAAGGGATCAGGACTGCAACTTTATCTATAAAATGGATGGTAGCATGATAATTTTGTCCTTTTCCTTTCCTTTGTCCCTCATGCTGAAAATACAGTGGTCTCCCATGATTGTGATATTTTTCTGTAGAATCAGTAGAACAATCCCCTTCTTTGTTGCTCAACATGCTTTCTTTAGCTGAAGTGTTATGATTAGGTGTAAGACATTAATTAAAAAAAAAGCAACGTAATACAATAGGTGGGATATAAATTTCAAGATAACATGCAAAAACCTTTAAATCTTTAGCTTCATTGCTAACATTTTAGGTGTTTCAAGAGTGGTTTTCCGGTTTCAAGCATGTAAATTAAAGAAATTAACTGTTTTTTTTTTTTAAATCACCAAGTTATATAAGATTAATATTTCTTTGCAACAAAGGTTACCATAAAAATGTAATAACACAATTGGTCTTTTCAAATTCTTCTTTATTCTAGTTCCCAGAACTATTTATATGCATATTCCTAGAAGTTATTATATGCATGTTTTCCCACATTACAGGGTTCTTACTTAAGTAAAACACAGCATGTTATTCTTGAAGAAAAGCCTCCAACAATTTAGATCTGAATAAAATATAAATAAAAGTATAAGCAGAAGGCATATTGATGGCACTTACTTGCAATTTCAACCCTTTGAAATGGAGATAAGATCAAGAGTTTAAGGCCAGACTCAGCTATGTAGCAGGAGTGAGGCTAACCTGGATACCCTGTCTCTAACAAACAAAAAAGCAAAAGCATCTTTCAATCATATTACTCAAATATTCTTATCAACACTGACATCACAGAATTACTAATTAACTGGATACAAAAACACACAGCTATACATATGACTTTGTGATCATAATTTTTCTTTTAATGACATAGGATGACCACCTTTCCATGTTTACATCATATCAATGTTAGTTTTAAACATTTACTAGAGACCCACATTTAAACAGATATGAGCAGTGTTGCTGCAATGAACATGCTTGTATGTATGTGTCTGTTATCTCAGAGGGAATATACCCTTAACATTTTGACAGTCACTGACTAATCCAACAGAAATGCTGTTCACTGTAGTTTTCATTTGTATCTTTTTCTCTCTTATTTTTTTTTCTGCATCTCTTCTTTCTTTCTCAGCTTACTTGTTTAACCTTGGGCTACCTCTCCACCCTCTACTCTCTCACTTTCTAAGAAAGTTTAAGTTTAAAGTCATTCAATATCATTTTATTTCTAGGGCTGGTATAAGACACTCAGTGCCATTGGTTACTCATTGAACACCTCTTGATAGTTTTTTGTTAGAATTTTAGTTCTGCACTTTACAAAATGGAACAAGAACCTTGTGTAATAATTGAGAGAGCACACTGGGGCTTTCTGGATTAATAGGCAAGCTGCTGACACTGGAGCATGTCAGAGGTTTTGTTGTGACTATCACCTCATCTTTAATATGGGCACAATAATAGCAACTATTTTAAGGCTGTTGGAGAGAGTGCATATATGAACCTATGGTCATTTGGGACAGTCCTCTGATACAGTGACATCTTAGAGGCATACTAGAAGGCAAGCTAGAGTTCATGGAGCAGCAAAGATGTACAAGCCAAACTAAAATGCTCAAACCACAGTTTCCTCCATCAACTTAAAACAAAGTAAAATGCATGGGGATAGAGATGGGTAGAGAGTGCACATAAACTTAGCTGCTGATGGGCAGGAGGATCATGTAGTGTACGTAACCTCTATCTGGGCTACATCCCTCTTCCCTGATGGCAAGAACTTGTGTCCAAGCACACTTGGCCAGTGGCAATGTTCATAGGAAGACCAATGGACAGATGACAGATGATCTCAAGTGAGAATTAGCAGGGCACACCATGTGTGGGCTGGTTCAGCAGCTCATTCTTATTGTGTAGGCTGTTTTTACATTTATATATCCAAAATGTTTGCTTCTGTGGTTGCTAGATAAATAAATCATGGCTCTCAGTATCTGGGTTGCCATAGTCTTCTCATCCCATGTTCACAGACTAATGCTTAGTCTGCGTCTGATATGTATAGACTGTTTCCACACAGCTGTTTCATTCCAATTCTGTATTCTCTTGTTTGCTGTCAAACCGAATTGAGTACTGACAACCCATGCAGCATCTGCATTTTATATATATATATATATAGTGTGTGTGTGTGTGTGTGTGTGTACATGCATGTGCACAGTCATATTTTGAGAATAGAAATGAAAATTGTAGTTATGATGTCTGAATTTTTGTGTATATGTGTGCATGTAGTGCTTACCTTGATATGTATGTATGTATACATGTGTATATGTGTAGAAGGCAGAGAACAACTTTGGGTGTTGATCCTCAGGAGCTACTTACCTTGTTTTTTGAGATAATTTTCTCATTGGCCTGGAGAACACCAAGAATGATAGGCTACCCTCCCACCAAGCCCAGGGACATGCGTATCAAAAGCCACCTCCCTTGCACCAGGATTACCAACTCTGCCACCATCCCTGGGTTTTGTGTTTTCATGGGTTCTAAGGATCATTTGGGTCCTCATGCTTGCAAGTACTTAACCAACACAGTCCTCAACATAAAGCCAGCCACACTGGACCTCTTAAAAGAGGAAAGTGGGAGGTACCTTTGAACTAATTGGTATAGGAGACTGCTTCCTGGACATAACACCAGTAGCACAGACACTGAGATCAACAATTGACCTTCTGAAACTGAGAAGCTTCTGTAAGGCAAAAGACATAGTCAAAAAATACAAAATGGCAGCCCACAGAATGGGAAAAAAATATTCACCAACCACACATCTGACAGAGGACTGATCTCCAAAATATACAAAGAACTCAAGAAACTAATTACCAAAACACCAAAATAATCCAATTAAAAAGTGGGGTACAGAACTAAATAGAGAATTCTCAATGGAAGACTCTAAAATGACTGGAAGACACTTAAGAAAGTGCTCAACATCCTTAGCCATCAGGGAAATGCAAATCAAAACAACTCTGAGATGCCATCTTACTCTACAAACACCAAAGACAGTTTATGCTGGAGAGGACGTGGAGAAAGGGGCACACTCTTCCACTGCTGAATATTCTCATAGCTGCATAAGATAAAGATAATCCCCAGAGCTAAACTGTCTCCAAATAAGTTAAATAAAAAAAACTGTCAACCAAAGTGATTTGACCCCAAATACAAATTTTATTAGCTGAACCATCATTTTACTACTAATGTATCCTCCTCAGTTTCCAATTTTAGGCTGGCATGATTTTCAACTTTTTCCTTCTTTCTAGGCTTATCCTCAGTTTGTCCTGACTTACCTGGAGGAGCTTACTGCTCCAAGGGATGTGAGCCAAACAGAGGACCATAGTCACCATAGAGCCTGGACCACAGCTCATCAAGAACATGGTAGACCCTGTGTGGAAAAGGTCAGTGTGGTGGCCAGAGGCAAGATAGAAACAGACGTCGTAGGTATATCTTGAAAAGAAAAACCAAAACAAAACTATTCTAGTCATTGTTTTCAGGAAACAAGTCCAAATTCTCATGACAATGCTATTGATTGTTTAAGTCACATAATTCTGTAATATTCTTTTTTTTAAAGACTCAATTTAGTTTGTGTGTAAGTGTTTTGGCTTTATGTTTATACATGAACTGTGGGTATGCCTATTGCTTGTAGAGACCAGATAAAGACATTGGATCCCTTAGAACTGAAGTGATGGATGGTTGTGAGGTATCAAACCCAGGACCTCTAGGAAAACACTGTCAGGCTCTTAACTGCTGAACCATCTGTCCAGCCCCATACAGTAATATTCATAGGCACATTTATATTTATATAAATTCAATGCTATTTGTATAGATATTTTATATAGACATTTGTATAGATATTTAAGAGATGGTGATACCCTATACTTCACATAGGGTTGTCTTTATTTGTTGTGACTATGTACAAGATCCTGTGCTGTAGGAAAACACAAAGACTAGGAGTCTCTCAATGTTATGTTTTGAGAACATATGTCATAAACATTTTCACTCAGTCAAAATCAACTGCACCATTTCTATGTCTCATTACAAGGGTTTGCAAAAACACACCAACAGTCCTCTACTGAAGCAGCTGCCGGAACCCTCGGATACTCATGATACGCCACAAGGCTCTCTTGAGGAAACGGAGCAGCTGGCAGTAGTGCTACTGAGGAGACTGGAAGAGAAACATCCCAAGGCTCCTGCTCAGAGGTAGGGCATCGACTGAGTGTCGCTTCATTGCTCAATGACATTCGACGTTTTCCTTCAGTTTCATGTAAGACTGATTTCTTGAAGATTGCTGAAATATCTCAAAGGCCCTGTGGCTTTTAATCATAGTAGTTTCAGGGTCACATTTGATGAAGAGAGGTGACATTTATGTGTATTTTGTTGAAGACTGATGCATATAATCATTTATGAGGATACTTAAGATGGATTGCAGTCCCAGAATCTCAATAAAACACACAGAAATAAATAACATAATTAAGCACAGGCAATACTGAACATATATCCAAATTGAAAGTGCCTACAGGTCTTCAAGAAAGACAAATATGTAGGCAATCTCTTTGGTTTTTTTTTTTTTTCTACAAGGAGTGCATTGTACTTGCATCCAAAATTACTAGATGATCTTCTATAGTGACACTTAACACATTAACCATTTCCGTGACCAGAGGGAAGGTAGCATTCATGATTTGCTAACAATTCCAAAATATTCCTGGTTGGAAAATGAAAACTAATTTTCATGTTCTCATTACTTAGCCTGACTAACATTTGTTATAACCATAGTTTTATTGGTTGGCAATAACTGTATTAGCTGTCATTTAAATTTATACTTGTTTGAAATGACTGTTGACTCACATGACTGTAACTCGTTCTCACACATGTTGATTTAATTTGATGATGCCCCTAACTTTAATTCAGCAATTCAGATAGAAAAAGAACACTTGATAACTTCATAAAGCTGGAGGCTAATTTACATTCTTAGATTATAGAAGCCATCTCAAATGACTTTCTTTAATGGATTATTTGTTATTTGGACGATGAGGTTCATAAACAAATACCAATTTTCTATCTTACTTTCTCCTACTGTGAGGGTTTCCTGGGAGGCATCAAAGTCCAGTTTTCAGGACATGTCCTCCCTGGTTCTCAGTTTTTAAGCATTACCAAGTTTCTCAACTGTGTGGTGCTCTGTGGCATGAGCACAGGCTGCACCCACATGGTCTGGCCACTCTCCACAGCACGCTTGGTGCCTCTCTCATGTCACTATGGCAACACTTGGGAACAGTGTTCACTGTTTTCATTTAAAACGGGGAACTCCAGCAATACCAGGACACTTGGGGATGAGTTGACACAGCTCTGTGAAGCTACCATCAGCTTGTCTTCCTAGACTCACACAGCCATCTTTGTCTTTTCCTGCAGAGCCTTTGGTCTTTTATCATTTGGGCTTAGTTCTTATCCTGGGCTCTAGAAGAACATACTGCTTCTGCTTTCAGGTTCCTGTCACTACTACAGCATTTTTGTTCTTCTTCCTTGCTAATTCCTGCTCTTGTGGTAATTTACCCATTATCTACACTTCCTGCCTTCCCAGGCTGGAAGTATTTTTCTCTGAGGTTTACCACAGGTTAGGGACTGGCCATCTTTTACTCTGTTGTTGTTTTGAATTCCCCGAGGGAGTACAATCTGATAACTGATGTTAGTGGAGCATAGTAATAGAAAGTGATGCCTTACCTTCCCTGGCCACAAAACACATTAGCTGATATATTATATAGTGAAATTGTTAAATTTGATAAAATAATTTTTAATGTCTAGAAAATCAGTATCACTCACTCTTGGTAGCTCTGAAAATGTTCTGAAAACAAGTAAGGATACAAAGAATTTTAAACAAGCATTAAATTATGGTGCCTACACCATATGTTGTCACAGTGTGAATCTCCTGTGGTCACTCAGAGCCCAAATGTTTAAATGGAAAATTCCAGAAGTAACAAATTCACAACTTATATTGGATTATGTTGTTTTTCACTGGTTGTTATTAATTTTTATTATGACTAATTTATAAATTAAACTTTAATATTGGTACGATAGATGTGTTGAAGTGTAGAAAACATATATACATACATACATACATACATATATATGGTTTATCTCTAAAAAATTTATTTTTAAGTGTGTGTGTGTACATGAGTACCGGATCTGCAGAGACCAAAGGAGGGCATTGACTCCCTTGGAGCTGGAGTTACAGGCAGTAGTGAGCTGCCCAATGTGGGTACTGGGAATTGAACTTGAGTCCTCTGGGAGAGCCAAAGAAGCCCTTATATGCTGAACATCTATCTCTCCAACCTCAGAATTTAGTTCTGTATACTTTCTGGAGCTCTTATATTTAGAATTGTGGGTTTTGTCAATAAGTATTGACTGTAAAATATATCTGCAACTTTCTTCTCATAAAAATTGCCCGAGGGCCTTTTCTCCATGGGCATCACACAGAGCTTAGCACTTTTGTTCTAAGAATTGCAGTACTTTCTGCCTCTCTCCTTGACCATGAACCACAACAAATGCAGTTCCAGTTCATCTTTGTGTTATTTATCACAATCCTCTTTAATAAATAGTACAATACTTACAGTAATTACTTTCCCCTCACGTTGGAAGGAACTGTGGAAAAATTAGAATAGAATGTGGTGCGGAATTTAATGACTTTGAATCTTAGATTGTCTTGTTAGATATGTGTGTATTACAAATATAAGAATCAATGTATTATATTGTGGTATATATGTACATACATACACACGTACATACACAAAAATATAAACATATTTTATAATTTACATGTAAACATATAAGTATATGCTTATGTATATATATATATACATATATATATAGAGAGAGAGAGAGAGAGAGTCATGCATGCTTTTCTTAATGTTAATTCAATGAAAGCAAAACTCAATGCAGATAATAAAGGAATGGTATAAAATTACCTGAGCTGGGAAAAATGGGAAAATCTAGCTTTATATCACTTAGAAGGATGGAAGGTGGGAGCCACAATAGTCGGCTTGTAGAAAGAAAGGGAGATTGGTCCGGAGTATCAGATAATAGAATTTGTGACCTTATCTAGTTCTGTACATGCATTATCATCCAATAATTTATACAGTCAGTAAGCAGGGAATTTATCTATGTTTTACTGATGAGACTACTGAAACAGAAGAGATTTACTGTTTTGAATAAGGGTTCTCAGTAAGGCAGGATAATCATCCTCCAAATCCTGCTCTCAACATCTGTCATAAACGGCTTAACCATTCATACTCTTGTAATAGAAGTCATTCCATATCTCAGCTCTTCAGACAAGATTGGTATTTGAACTAGGTATCTTGAAGTGGGGATTTTTGAATAAAGTAGAGTAATTTGGAAAGGAAAGGATGAAAGGAATAGTTTTCCACAAAGACTAAATAAGAGACAGAAATCATTAAATGACTAAATTCCCGACTTCCTGTTGCATCTGACATTGTAGGTCTGTAGTCTGATGCCCTGATTTACAGAGGCCTAACCTGGAAGTCAATAATTTTCGAAAGTCCTTTCCTGATCATGTAACTATAACTTGTCATAGATATTTCATGCTTTAGTGATTTAGCTTTGTATACATAAATTTCATGATAAGAAACTAATAGACACTGTTTGGTGGCTACTTACCATGTAGCCACCGCTGTTCTACATATTTATTCTTATAGCATCAAGAGTGATTGATTTGCTTTGCTGATCTCATAACCTGGCAATATTACTACTTTCAAAGTCATTGAATATACAGAACAAATTTAAAGTTTCTACGTAATGCATTTTTGAGGCATAGTATAATATCTTCATTACAGAGAGTAGGATTCAAGCGCAAATATGTGTGGCTCTCTAGACAACCCTTTTCCTCACCACCTTTACTTATTTAAGCCATGCCAATATGTGAGTTGTTTCTTAAAAACTGAAATAAACTGTTTCTTTTTTTGCTTGGTCCGGTTTTTCTGAATTTTATTCTTAAAACTCACATGCTCTTCCACCCCATAGCACCACACAATCAAAAACAATAACCAAGAACTCTGTCCTCCCTCCTACGGGGTCATTTTAATTAATTCACATTTCCAGCATTCAGAGACATGTCTGATTATTGATCATCTTTAGAGTTGTAACATGGGAAAAATCTTTTCGTTGAAAAGAGAACTCTCTTACCGTAAGAGGTCCTAATTCAGGATACTAACTGGTTTATGTAGGACATATTTTCTTGTTTGATCTGGTGACTGACATGGTAGCAAAATATTTTTGTGTTGTGTACACATTTGACTCCAAGCTTAGTACAAAAGAAAATAAATGTAGTTGTCTTCTTTAAGTATCTGGAATGTGTTTGTTTGCATTAGTTTGGCCACAGGACCCCCTTAGCAGTATTTAGATCGAATGGGGTGGGAAAGAGTGGGGCCGCCAACAAAGCATGCTGCCCCAGCTTGTCACCCAGTGACCTGTGAGAGGAGAATAATGAACTGTGAGTAGCTGTCAACTTAACTGTTTCTGACAGTGTGCCTTTGGGCACATCTGTGTTAGTGGCATTGGGAGGGCCTTTGTTCTTTTCCCACTAGTGACTTTGTGAGCAGTGAGGGTCTCTGCTGCTACACCCACGAGCAGCCCCTTCCCTTCCCAGGGAAGCAAGCAGCTGCCATGGACTGCATTGACGTTTGTCTTCATGACTCAGGTTGGCGTGCACTTCATTCTTTGAAGAGACCAGACATTTAAAAGTACTTTGATGGTTTTTCATTAAAAAATGTACTTTAATGTCTCACTAACAAAAAGGAGTGAATTGTAAAATATGTTTCCTGTCATTCGTATTTTACACTGATGAAGGTAAAGTCAGACACAGATAGGTGGATGGGTGAGTAATTTGAAGGAAATGTATCAAAATATTGGCAGCTGTTACTGGGTTTTAAAATTCTATTTATAGCATTTCCCCCAAGATTAAGACTCGAATACCATATTTAAATGAATATAAAATAGGCCAATAATCAACACAGGTTATAAAAAATTTAATATAGACACTTGGTGCATACTGTACTGAGAAGAATATTTGGGCTGAAATACAAAGGTCTGGTCTACATTTTGTTTCATGTTTTTCACTGACAATTTAAAAAATAAACAACACAGTATTCTCATTTGAAAGTTAATCTGGATCTTGCAATTATTACACTCATTAGAAAATGCAATTTACTAAGAAACAGGTGTTTCTGATCCCTGAAGACTAGCCAGTGTTCCCATCACAATAAAGGCAGCCCATTCTGAATGAATAACATTAAACTTAAGAGATTTACTTAAATTAGAATCAAAACTTCATTTATAAACTAGAATTTCAGGGTCAGTTTTAGAGCCTTGTTAATAATTTGTAATTACTATAAAGCCTGAGCTTTTACCATAATGAGGTCTGGCTATGATTGGCATGTAGTAGACAGTGAGCATTTGGTACTCAGTTGATTGTATTTGTCATTCCAAGACAATATGAATCCAAGGAATATTGCACTGGTCAATTTTTAAAAGTCCTTTTCTTTACCCTGACAAAATAAGAAAAAATGAAGCTTGAAAGAAATGACATGCTTTCCCCCCCTCTGTATTTCAGGTTCTTTCTGTAACTCATCTGAGATGAACCAACCTAAAGGAACTATTATAATCTCTTGCTTTTCAAAGAAAAGAGAAATTAATAGTAATGGGAAGTTCTCTAAGCAGACAAATGATGATCATGTCTATATAATTACAAATTGTAAAAAACCACATATTAAAAAATTGAAGAATCATATTATGATTTCCTTGAGCATTCGGCAGCTTATGATTTATTAGCCTATTAAGTCGTTTGTGTGGTTTACAATATAGTTGATGATAATCTGTAACCATGTTATTTGCTTTGAACTATTCCTCCTGTTTTCGTCAGTAAACATGAACACAAATTTCCGTAGAGCTAATGAATAAACAGGTCAGTTTTTTAGTAACCATCAGAATCTGCTTTGGAAAAAAATATAGATTATTCAGAATTCTCACAGATTCATTCATCTAAAACGCTTACCAACTTTAATGATAAATGTAAAAGAAATTCATTACTTATGCCACTGTATCTAATTATGACTTCTAGAAGCAAAATCCAACTATTAGATCACTTTTCCTAGTTCACACGTGCTCAGCCTTAACAGTTTTCCTTTAGCTCTTTTATTATTTAAGCAAAGAAAATTTCAGAATAAAAGACTGTGTTCTACACACATGTGAAGTTCTGCATCTGTTTTCCTGATTGGAAACTCAAAGGCTTTGACACTGATGAATTTGATGCCTGTTTGGGTTGTAGTTTTTTCATTGGGGGAGGGTGTGTGTGGCTATACTTCACCCACGAGTGCACATATGAGGCAGAGAGGTCAGGGTCAGTTGCTCTCTCTCCTCTTTCTTTTTCCACCTGATTTTGAGTTAAGGTCTCTCTACAAGCTAAAGCTCGTTGATTCAACTATGGTGGCCAGCCAGTGAGTCTCAAGGGTCCTCGTCTCCATGCCCTTGTTTACATGGGTCCTGGGGATCCAAATCCACATGTCACATACTGAGACATCTTTCTTCCTAGCTCCAAGTTTTAGTAAACTTTTCTAATGAATTTCTGTATGCCCTGTGTGAATTAAAATGAAGAGAATAAGTAATATAATCTCACTATTTCCTTGAAACAAAGTAAAACATCAGGCATTCAAGCTTCTCAGGTATGAGTGATATAGCTTCAGTTCTAAATTATAAGACTTAGTCTATGATTAACTTGCATTCTCATTTCAGACACAAGTTACCTAAACCTCCAACTAGTTCGCTTCGTTTGTTTTTCAGTTCTATTCAGTGTTGTCCTTGGGATTATTTAATGGCTAAAATGGCTAAATGGCTAAATGGAAAGCACTACTTTTATCTTCTTGAATTTTTAGCTCCAAGTGGACATGTATAGATTCTGAGGAGATAGTTCAATGTGTGAAATGTTTACCAGCACAGGGACCTGTCTTAGATTCCCAACATTCACATAAAATCCAACAGAAGCAATGGCATGTGCCAATAATACAAGTGCTGGGTGCAGAGGATCCCAAGGGTTTATAGTGGGTCACTCTAGACAAAGTGGTGAATTTCTGGTTCAGTAGGGGACCTGGATTAGCTGTGTAGCTTGGAGCTGACCTCAACTCAGAATCTTCCTCTTGAGTGCTTGTAGAACATTCCAAGTGCTCACCATCATCTTGAGCAGGACATTTTGTTGAGTTGGTTGTAGGACACTCAAATACTGTGTAGCACAATCACACACATCCCAAGGGAACTAAAAATACATTTCTGAGTGGTATTTAAAAATACACCAATAATTCAGCCTCTGGCCGGTAAGATTTCGGGGGATTCTTTTAATGGATATGGCATTTAGTAATAACAATAACCCCCATGACAGTCATCACCAGCTGGGTAACATTCTTCCTTTAAAGGGACATGGGGTGAGTAAAGTATGCTTACTCAAAGCTAATTCAGTGCATCTTAAAGTCACCTTGCAGGTTCCTGGATTGAGGAGAGGAGCCATCTCTGGGGAACTTTCTCTTTTTGGTTTCTACTTATCATGTTGCTTGAATCTGGCAAATAGTTGTTTTAGATAGTTTTCTTAGTTTAGCTTCTACCTGCAGAGTACCTGGTCAACACCAGGCAGAAAGAAAAAAGAACAGAAAATAGCACTTGTAGAATATATCCACATACACAACACAACACCACACACACACACTCACGCACGCACGCACGCACGCACACACGCACGCATGCAGGCATACATGCATGCATCACGCATGTACACGCACACACCAATACATTACAACACATATTTAGCCAGCCACCAAAGAAAACTGTGCTGATTGGCACAGGGCCAGATGTACTGCTCCCTTGGAGTTGAAAATGAGGATGGATTTAACTTCACTGAAACTACTTTGTGCGTCATCCTAGAGGGATGTGAACATGTGTCTACTCACTCCAGACAGGAAATCTGTGGCAGACAAAAGTAAGAAACCACTGAATCCCAACCAGGTTAATCGATCAATTTATTTAGGAACTGCAAGAGAGTATAGGTCAGGGGTTACTCATGGAGACAGAATACTCAAAGGCAGCTTTATTTCCAAAAGGCTGCCCAAGCATGGATGATGGTCCATTGGTAACAGAAACTTGGAGCTCATGCCACAGCCTACAGCTCAATGGGTTGGAGAATCTTGTCTTCCAAGCAGCTCAGTTGGTCTCATCTAGGCAATTTGACTGATCCTGCTTCTTCCAGGCATTTTAACTTGTCAGAGAGTGTCTCTCAGTAGTCCTGATAAGGAACCTTGGTGATGGAGGAGCCTAGTGCATTTGGTCAGTTTCAGTGCCCTTCCTGAGACTTTTGAGTTGTTTGCTTCCTCAATTATAAAGAACTTCCCTGCACAATGGGTGTTTATATATGAGGAAATTGATTGTTTCCTAACAGACTGCCTGAAGGAGGTTGGTTCTTAGAAGAAACTGAGGTTGCCTCACAAACAGTTACACACACAGCAGTGTGTTTACCATATAAAAGTTGCTTTTGGTGGATATGTCTGATATCTACATGCTGTGTACAAATATTTCAGCTACCCAGAATGGAAGCAGTTGTAGTGAGGTGAAAGAAATGGGGAGTGGATGCTTTAGGTGATGTTCACACTATGCCTTGTAGTAGGATTGGGGACTCAGTATTATTTGCAGCTAAGACATGAAGGAATTAAAGGCTTTCCAGTTTACAAGAGAAATTGCTTAGGTTTTCCTTTATTTATTTTTCTCAGAAACACATTTTTGGGAAAACCTTGACACTTCCTGACACACCTCAGCAGGACTTGCTTGTTCTGAAATTTGGTATAAGTTGATAAGGTGTTATGCAGTTCAGCACAAAATTATGTTGTGGTTATTTCAATTAGTATTTCACAACTTCCTGTGTATTCCACTGTATAAACACATTCTCAGACCCTTCAGCCAATTTCACCACCTCTCAAAGTGTAATGAATAATTTAAAGTCTAATAAATTTAGATGATTTCCCC